TACTTACTGAATATCGATTTGGATTTCTAAGCAACAAGTCCACAAATGACGCTGTTTTCCCTCCTTAATAAAGTTTACTCCAGCCTAAACAACCATCACTCTACAGCAACAATTTTCTGTGATTTTTCTAAGGCGTTCGATTGTGTAAATCATAAGATCTTAATTAATAAACTGCAGCACTATGGGTTCAGGGGATCATCTCTCGAATGGTTTAAGTCGTATCTGAGCAACAGAAGTCAACTTGTGAGGGTGGATACCACGTTGTCTTCTAGCAAGCCAATAGAATGTGGAGTACCACAAGTCTCAGTACTAGGCCCTATTTTGTTTCTTCTTTTTATTAACGACATTGCTAACATAAACATCAGTTGCAAAATATGTCTTTTTGCGGACGACACTAGCTTCACTTGGAGCAACAAGGACATCACGGCACTTAATCACCATTAAATCTTGGTGCGATTCGAACCTCCTGAGTCTCAACATTTCTAAAACTAAAGCTTTGTCGTATAAAAACTCGTTGCAGCCTTTTGTACTTAACAACACCACCATTGACGTCGTCAAGTCTGTAAAATTCTTAGGGCTTGTTGTGGACAATTCTCTGAAATGGGACATACATATCGAAGCTTTGTCGAAAAAAAAAATTGAGCTCTGCCTGTTTTGCATTAAGGTCTGTTTCTAAGGAGCTTAACTTGTCAGTGGCTAGAACTGTTTATTATGCACTTTTTGAGTCGCACCTCAGATATGCCCTTCCATTCTGGGGTACGTGTTGTGCGACTCAATTTGACCGCATTTTCAGGCTCCAGAAGAGAGATGTTCGATATTCACTGGGACTAAACAGCAGAACTCATTGCCGGGACTTTTTAAAAAATTAAAAATATTGACTCTTCCTTCCTTATTTATATTTGAATCCGTTTGCCTAATACGTAAACATGTATCAGCTTCTCATGAAAGGCCATCTCACAGTTATCCACTCAGGAACGCGGAGCAAGATCTTTATCTACCTACCCACGCTCAGAGTTAGTTAAAAGTTCAATATTATACAGCTCGAAAAAATGCACAATCACCTGCCATTTGAAATCAAATCCATAACATCATTTTTTTCATTTCGCAAAGCATTGAACTCTTATTTACTAGACAAGGCTTTCTACGCCGTAAATGAATTATATTTTGAAAATCAAATTTGATTTTGTAAACACTGGTCTAATGTTTGTTATTGCTATATTTACTAATGACATCGAAATGAACTTATTTAGAGGTCATTGATATTTTACTATAAACTAGCTAAATATTTTTTGAATATTATTTTTATTTTTTGTTCTTTGACATTATAAACATTTATAAATGTTTATTTTAACAATAAGACTGACAATATTATTTGTATAATGTTTTGTATTATCTTTTGTTTGTTTGTTTGTGTACCTTGTTTTTTTACTTTGTTTGTTAGTTTACCTTTGTCTACAAATTGAAAAATTTTTTGACAATAAAGGCATTTATTTATTTATTTATTTAGTTTAGGAATTTACAATTTGACATTGAGAAAATTATACAGGGTGATTCTTAAATAAGTACAAATATTTTTTGGGCTAGTATATTTCGGTCCCAGACACACGTCTATGAGTTTTTTTTCGCGAAAAAAAGTTTTCAAAATTTGGTTTTTTATTTTATTTTTAAGTTGAAGACATAATTCTTGATAATTTGGCAACGTAGGTAGTAGATTATATTTACAAGAAAGAAAACCCAAAAAGTTTTTTAAATTTAAGGTAAAGGGAAAATATGTTTTTTTTATCGAGATATACCAGCTCTGAAAATATTTACACTTATTTAAGACTCATCCTGTATAGGTCGACAACTTAAGGTATTGGCATTGTTACCTTTTGTTTAGTTTTAAATTAAAAATAGATCCAGTTTTTCCTAAAAATTAGCTAAAATCGGGTTGTTCAAAATTTGCATGTAATAACCTATTAAACCTAAACTTATTAATATAAAAAACCTTTTTACCAGTTCGCTGTAAAATTAACAGGAGAGCCAATAACTGGACAGTTCAAAATTTGCATGCGTTTCCAACGAGGATGCACCACCCGGTATACGTTTTTTGATAACTTAAATGACTTTTGGGGAATGGTAGAAAAAATATTTTCTTTACTCTGAATAAAAGCAATTTAAGTGGGTTTCAACATCAAAGAGCATTATTATTTGTTTAGTCCATATTTTTTTTTTCTTTTCAATATCAGTCCCAAGATGGAGAAATACGAAAACTTTGCTTTCTATATGTCTTTATTTTTTTATCTCTACTTTTTCAGTATTAAAAGTCCAACATTTTATTAAAAATATAAAAATTAAAGCACATTTTTGACAAACACTTTATCAAAAAGAAAGAGGGTCATATAGGTCTTTATGTCGTCACCTTTTTATAGTTGAATGCTCGCAGTTACATGTGTGAGTTTACGTTTTTATTAAAGCCCTTAAACTTTTTATTGTGTACCGGGCTTTAGCTTAACCTGATTTTCTGAAACTAAGTTGGCACTATATGAGCCAATTTAAGGGGGAAAGCACTAGTTCCGCGATTAAATGGGATGTAGAAGAAGTCGTTGCTTCGATTTGATTTTCAGGCAACATTTTAACACATGTATATTAAAGAAAATACTACTGGAATAAAGTATCTGTAGTACTGAAACTGTGGTTGGTTCCTTGTGAAACATCGTTGAAATATTAGTATTTTAATAAAGCACGCTTTTAGATGTTTCAAAAAACTTTTAATAAGAGTAACTTTAACTCAACATATATGTTTCGGCTTGTTAGGCCTTTTTCAAAGAGTTTTAAGAACTAATCGTCTAACACACTGTAACTATATATATTTACTATGGGGGTGGGTTCAGAGAGTTTACAATAGGGGTAATAAAAATGTGTTTAGAAATCCTTGTTGGTCGTTAACATTATTTTTCGTTTTAACAGATTTTAGTATTTCTAACTGTTCAATGTAATTTAAGCGTCTACCTTTTGTTTCTCTTCAGTAGTAACTTAATTGAGTTTTCATTAATTTTGTGATTATTTACTATACAATGAGTTGCAGACCAGAACTATGCTGGAGATTATTAATAGACTTTACATGTTCTTTAATCCTTATATCTAGAATTTCTACCTGTTTGGCCTATGTACACGGCATCACAATCATTTGCAATCCACCTATATACACCGACTCTATTTTTGACATTAGTTTTGTCTTTATTATTTAATAAAATTTGACCTAAATTTCTTTTATTATGTAGTTTAATTATCGATAATTTTTTATTGTCTTTAGAATTAGCGGAATAAGAATGAATTTTTCATTAATATTGTTTTTGTTTGTTTGCGAATCTTTAGCATTATTATCAATGAGACACTTATATCCATTGTTGATGGCGATTTGTTAATAATATTTAACTCTTTTTTAAAATTTCTGGGCTCAGTGGAAACAGTGGACTAATCTATGAATTAAACTATGGTGACATTTTGATTTGCCAGGATTGGTGTGATTGGCTATGTATTACAGTGTCTGTGGTAGTGGGTTTTCTGTAAATATCAAATTGTAATCTATTAGACTGTTTTATAATTGTAACATCAAGAAAATTGATGGTGTTAAAAAACAGTCTAATAGATTACAATTTGATATTTACAGAAAACCCACTACCACAGACACTGTAATACATAGCCAATCACACCAATCCTGGCAAATCAAAATGTCACCCTTTCATAGTTTAATTCATAGATTAGTAATGTTTCCACTGAGCCCAGAGAATTTTAAAAAAGAGTTAAATATTATTAAACAAATCGCCATCAACAATGGATATAAGTGTTCCCTTATTGATAATATGCTAAAAGAAAAACAAAGAAAATATTAATGAAAATTTTTATTCCGCCAATTCTAAAGACAATAACAATTATCGACTTTTAAACTACATTCTAATTTAACTAACAAAATATCAAATAATCCTCAATAAAATAGGATGTAAAACTATTAACATAAATAAAAGAAATTTAGGTCAAATTTTATTAAATAATAAAGACAAAACTAATGTCAAAATAAGTCGGGTGTATATAGGGTGGATTGCAATGATTGTGATGCCGTGTACATAGGCCAAACAGGTAGAAATTTAGATATAAGGATTAAAGAACATGTAAAGTCTATTAATAATCTCAGCATAGTTCTGGTCTTGCAACTCATTGTATAGTAAATAATCACAAAATTAATGAAAACTCAATTAAGTTACTACACAGAGAAACAAAAGATGTAGACGCTTAAATTACATTGAACAGTTAGAAATACTAAAATCTGTTAAAAACGAAAAATAATGTTAACGACCAACAAGGATTTCTAAACACATTTTTTTATTACCCCCTATTGTAAACTCTCTGAACCCACCCCCATAGTAAATATATATAGTTACAGTGTAGTTAGACGATTAGTTCTTAAAAAACTCTTGAAAAAGGCCTAACAAGCCGAAACATATATGTTGAGTTAAAGTTACTCTTATTAAAAGTTTTTTGAAACATCTAAAAGCGTGCTTTATTAAAATACTAATAAAGTATCTGTCATAACAAAACTGATATTTATTGATATAAATTTATCTAAAACCTGTTGTATCTACTCGAAACCTTCTTCCCGTAAAATATCAAAATCAATCCAGATACGTGAATCTTTTGCGCCAATTATCCAATTCGGTTATGGACAATTCCAGGCAGTCCAAACCTTTTTCCTATTTATTTTTATATTAATGTTTCGACGAAAGGGAGAAAAGCGCAAAGAAAAAATAAAAGATATAGCTTGGCAGTATTGCGGTCTTTATGCCCATATTTTTAGTATATAAACTTTTGCTGATGCGCCAAGATTCACAGAGAGAGGCCCATAAAAATATATCTCTCTTAAAAAAAAAAGAAATTGGTCCTAGTAGTAACAAAAAATATAAATTTCCTTTTTATTGCTGAGATTAAGCGAAAGGGGCTTGCTAATTACATAAAATACTTACCAACGACATTTAGTTTGAAGGCCTGACTGATCTTCGGTTCAGTGCTGACTTGACATTCGTATATTCCAGAATCTCTAGTCTGTGGCGATGTCACTTTCAAAGTCCATTCGTCAGAACCGTCAGTGTGGAGTGACTGAAATCGCTGGTCATTGGTGTAGGTCAGAATACCCACTGTCAATATATGCAGATCTCTCTTACGTATCCAAGATACCTGAAATAAATCAAATACCCATTAAATACTAATTCAACTTCTGTTAATAGTTCTAAAAATATTAAATCTATACATCTGCCCCGATGTTCAGTAAGTTTTTAAATTTATTTCTTTAAAACTAGCATCATATCTAATTTATTTCACTGAAATCTCACGCTTTGCTAAAATGATTTATTAGTTTCCTAGTTCAAGACAGTTTAAAAGAAGCCTGACGACGGGTTTTATATTATATTTTGTATTTTTGTTTAGGAAACTTGTAGAAGTGAGTTTGAATATGACAGGGTGAGTTTTGGATAGGATCATATTATTATTTGTTTTTATATTCTTTAATTATTTTTCGTTTTTTTTTTGATATCGACTTTAAAGGGATTTTGTACTTACTATTTATATCTAAACTGTTTTCGAATTTGACTAAACTTATTTGGCAGAGAGATAAAATGGAACTGAGAACACACAACCCGTTGTTTACCTCATATTTTATACTATAAGGGTTGAAGCGTAGGCATTTTTATCTCTCCTTTGCATTTTCCTTTATTCGAAGATTTTGTTTGAAAAATGGCCTCTTCAATATAAGCGTGTGATATGGCAACTTTTTCTAAAGCATCCCCTAATTGTTGGAAACGTATTTTCGTCTCCGGCAAAGTGCTTGGAACTTTTTAAAAACTGTAGATTTTTATCCGACATTTTTCAAACTTTTCTATAGCATGACGAATTAGCGCTTTCGAATAATTTCTCAGAACTAGGTCTTCATTTTCGAAACTTTCCAAATTTAATATTATTCAATTCTCAGAAGAATAACGCATTATTAATAGTTAGGATAATATTTTACTTTGTGAACGCTACTTGTATTATCGCAGCCTCTTTTTTTCTCTATCTAGTTATTCGTACTCTTAGAAAGTTTCCACAGTTTTAACATAATTAAACGCCATCCAATTAGAGACGCGATATTTCAAATTTCAAATTTCTTTTTCTTTAGAAGATTAACTCACCGATGTTAATAATATTTATAGTACTCACTAGCCCTGTTATCAACGTTGATTTTTACATTCTATATAGTTATATAGATAAAAAAAGATAGTGTTTGATAGTCTGCTTCAAATTTCACTCAAAAGAAAATGCGTCGTTTTAGACTTTTTTATTTTTCAATTTTTAAAATTAATAAAGACAAGAGAGCTATATTTTTGGTAATATTAAAACAGATTTAATGATTAAATATTTTGGCGCTGATGCATTTTTTTTCTGATAAATAAATACGTCGTACATAAACGTATTATAGACGTATTTATACCCTAAGCGTTGACGTGCTTATTATTTAGAAATGAATACGTTGTTATTGGCATATTTATTTTCCCAATTTTAAAGTTGACGTATTTATTGTTATAATTTTGATAATAAAAGCTATTCATAAATACTTTGAATTAGTAGTGGGAACTATCGAATGAATACTATCGAAACATTCGATAGTTGCAATTCATTCGAATAATTCGATAGTTAGTAAGAAAACATTCGTTGAAAACTATTCGAATAAAAATTATCGAATAGATCCGTCATCTGCCTTGAAATAATGTATTCGAGTAATTCGGCAGCAAAAACCATTCATTTATAAAATTCATTCATTTATGAAATTCATTTATTCGTCAGGATCGATTATAATAAAATATTAACTGAATTTTAGTTGTCGCCCGGCGACGTAGGTTTCTTTCCGAGAAACCCGACAGCGGTCGGTGGCATTGCTATGAGAAGCCGGCATGTTTGATTTTTGCGGAGTCAGATATAGATAAAGGCACATTATTTTTTTTATTGAGGTGCTAGTATTTACACAGAAAATACATTATGAAGGGCGCTGTTGCCATATTTTGGTATTAGTTTATATTAGCAAAGAATATTATTGTTTGGCTTTAGTTAGTTAGGGACAGTATGTCTATATATTCTGCATTTTTTTTTATTAATATTCTGTTGTTACACTGCAATAATACTTGTTATTTTGGATGCAGGAGAATGATTTTTAATGTTTTTAAGCAAAGACTGGTTTAATAAATAATAATAACAGTAATAATTTGTTATACCTATTAACAACAAAATTTAAAATCATTTAATATAAATTTTTTTTTAAGTAGTAGCAAAATATAAACAAGAAATTAGATGTCAAAATTATTTATATTAGATCCTATTTAAAAATAATATAGTCTCTAAATTTTTTGTGTGTGGCAACGTTGGTTTATTAAATTATAATAATTACAGAACTAATTTGTTATATTAACAACAAATTTTAAAATCATGAAATATAAACATTTATTAATTTTCTAAGCATGCAGTGTAATGGACGGAAAATATAAAAAAAATTAGAAATCAAAATTATTTATATTAGGTGCTTTATATTACTATTTAAAAATTATATTTACTTTTACTGGCTTTTACTTTAAAAAATAAATGAAATATTTCTTCGCAAAAAACTACATGTAAGAGAATTAGCATAAACAAAATACAAACATCGTTAACTTTTTTTTTAAATTGGCACGTATAAAACTTTCAATTTAGTTTTCTCACCCCATAGTTTGAGTTCGATAACCCCATTTACTTAACCACATTACTAAAATATGATTATTAAGTTCAACTAATTCATATTATTAAAACATCTAAAATACAAATATGTATTTTTAAAATTAATTGTAAGTTCATCTCATCTCTCTTAAAAATTGCTACTTCTCAAAATTTCTCATTAAAAAATAGACCATATAAAATTAAATAATTGAAAGATCGGACTACGGAAAATCACACAAATTTTCGGAAAAATTTTGACCACCTGCACATGCACTCAATCGTCAATAAATAAAATTAAAAATAAGTACTATTTAAGTATTTTAACTATTTTAATAAACGCAAAAATAGCACAGTATTTATACGGCGAAGTTATAAGAATTTGGAAGAACTAATAATGCACTGACGGATACAAAAAATCAAACGAATACTAAATTTCATTTATCAAAAGCATTCGATAGTCGTGGCTCAACGATAACCATTTAGTCGCACGGCGAGGTTGTCACATATGCTTTAGTATACAAATGAATGAATGATTTTATTCGAATAAAACCATTCGATAGTTGAAATCATTCATTCATTAACCATTCGATAGTCTAATTCATTCGATAGTTCCCATCGCTACTTTGAATGACTTCAGCGCTTATTTATTTACCCGTTTCTTCTAATTAAAAGATACTAAATATATTTTAACAGCACTTTATTTGACAGGATAAACCAGATTTTACAATAGTAGGTTTTGGCATTGGATATAACTACTTTGGAGGTTAGACCGACGTATTTATTTACTCATTTATTTAATTTCAACGTTTTATTCATAGGTTTTATCAAAATATTGACGTATTTATTAAAAGCACTAACGTATTTATCTGTCAAAAATAAAACGTCGTATTTTTTACGTTTAGTGGACGTATTTAATTACTGTCCTCCAATTTTTTAGCTGTAATCACTGTAGTGACTTTTTTGTTGAAATATTTCAGCATTGTATATTATAACTAACCGAGTAGGTACTATTTTTATGGCATCTACGCATAGGAATTTAAAACGAAATGGGCTTAATTTAAAAACAAAAAAATGCTCTAAAATGCATTTGGAAAAAAGGAAAGCAAAGCGAAAATAATCTAATTCTCCGGATCAATTTAGTGCATCTAAAATGAATAGATTAAGTAAAGCTTGCCGCTAAGCTGGAATCTATTGGCGAACTGGCTAATCCCACGTATTCCTATTACATCATTTGTATTCCGTTAGCTTCGCTTTAGCGGCCATCTTTATGGTCAAGTGCCTGTGCTTTTTGTTCTCGGCATTATCTGTGGTCCAGCCTTTTACGCTCCAGTACTGATTTTCCAAGTTTATCAATTCCTTATGTGTTTCATGTAGTACGTCCGGGCAGAGGAATCAAATTTATTGCTTTTATATTTCGAATCAGTCCGTAATTTCTTACAGCCTGACATTTTATATCGAAAAGAGATATAAAAACGTACTCACAACGGCTCACTTCTTCACTTTGATGACCATAAAAAAGAATATACATGAAAAACACTTCTTTTTTATCCTGATATACAGGGTCTTTCAGGCTTATTATTATAATGGGGGCATGGTAACGCACATTTTGAAAATATTTATGTCAACATATAGCGTCATTCAAACATATTTTCAAACCAAAGTCGTATATTTATAAATGAAATACTATATATTTTTTTGCCACTAAATTTCACCAACCAAACCAAAAACCTAATACAGAGTTTTTTCGGAAGCCCTAAATCACCCTGTACCTAAGATTGTTGCACTGTTACTACCGATGAATATACTTACAATACTAAACAAATTATATTTTTCCTGTTGTATTCCAAAGCCTGAGTTATTATGGACTTTTAATTATACGTTTATTTGTAACAGTAGTTGTGGTTTTTTATTAAATTCACATCAGGATAAAAATCTTTGTAGCAGTATACAAAAGCTAGGAACAAAGAAACTAATAATAAAATACTTCCTTACATTATTCTTTTTTTGTGAAGTGTGTTTTTTGACATTTTAAATAAATCATTCTATGGCATATTATTTTTAAAACAGAAAAATAAATACAGTATATAAAAGAATATGTCTATTATTTTTTAGTTACACATTTTTCTACCCATTAGCCTACACTAAAAGCCTGTTAAATAAAAAAAACTTTTCCCATTAACTTTTTAAAAATAAATCGTTTTATTTTATTTACATGCTGGAAAAACAGGCAAATAAAAATATTGAATTAAACAATAGAGTGGTGTTAGTTATAAAAATATGTTATATTTATTTTTAGCAGAGGAAAATAAAACAACAACAAAAAAGTTATTTCCCCGATTTTTCTTTAAAAAAATACACTCTACCTGGATTAAATACATTTCCTATTCTTTTTGTAATACGAGGCAAGGAAAATTATATTAAAGAAATGCTTTAATGCCACTATGAAAGGTATTTTTTTA